TTTTATTCAGAGTTTGTTTTATGTTTCAGGTTAGTAGAATTAACTCCAAAATTCCTGTATCGGTTTTTCAACCATGTCACACCCAGGTGCTTCGTTTTTATTACATGTATTTTATAACGTCTTTATTATACCAAAATGAGATTTCTAGATAATATAACATAGCTATACATAATTTGAGAATGGTACAGGACTGGGCACTATTTTATTCTTTTGTACATGAGGTGGCTATGAGTGGGAGCTGGCTTGATGGCACCTAACAACAACATATGCACAGTTTAAGAAAATGAATATAGTGCCTTAACCAAAATATAAAGGAAAAAACAAATTGATTTATGATAATACAGATTTCAGAATGTCAGTGCTCAGACATGATTCACTGTTAAAATGGAAATACTTTAAGGGGATAGTACTGCTCTTTGTAAATCATTGTTCTGTATGTAGAAGAAAACAGGAAATCATTTTATTACTAGTTTAAGAAATATTAGGACTTTATAATAAGGTGGCATAATGCTCTGGTGGCATAGTGGATAAAGCATTTGGCTGCTAACCAGAAGGTCGGTGGTTCAAACCCACCAACTGTTCTGTTGGAGGAAGATGAGGCAATCTACTTCTGTAAAGATTTATAGCCTTGGAAACCCATTGGGGTCACTGTGAGTTGGAATTGACTCGATGGCAGTGGGTTTGGTTTTGATTTTTGTATTATAAAGGTTCATTGCCACTTTTGATTATGCTTTTTGGGATAATTGCATATATTTGATAATATAAAGCTGTAACTTCTTTTTCTTTTTCATTGTGATTTGGCTGAAAGTTTACAGAGCAAATTCACTTTCCATACAGCAGTTCACATACACCTTGTATCATGACATTGACTACAGTTTACTCCAGTGCAACAGCTCCCTTGCCACTTTTTCCCAATAGTTACCTCTTCCCTGTGTCCATCCCTCCATGCACTCCTGCCCCCTGACTTGTCTCCCTGTGCATAAATAGCTCTTCTTTGTCCCATGATTGTTCTCTCCAAGGAGTGTATCTGCCTCAGGTAAATTTTCAGTTCATATGCCTGTCTGTTGTTTGGTTGGAAGCCACAGGTGTGAGTTCAGTTCCAGACTTGAAGGGCAGCTAGTGGTTCCATCAGGTTCTAACACATCAGCAAACCTGGTCCCTTTTTCTTTTTCCCCCAAATGATTTTGAGTTTTGTTCCCATTGCTTTCCCTCTCTATCTAGGATCTCCTACATAGATTCCCCCTCCGAGTAGTTGACAGTGGTAGCTGGGCACCATCTAGTTCTTCTG